CATTTGATATCATCATTGACATAACAAACAATTGCATCACCCAGGTAGTAACAATACCAAGGCCATGCATAAATGAAACTTTTAATAATGCATGTCTACCCAGATCTCTGGGATTCACAATAATAAATTACTTTTCCTGATTATCAATCATGGTTGCTCATGAATAATAAATCTGATATTGATTGCAGGTGTCAGATTTAATTAAAATTTCCCTATCACAAACATGCAGGACAGTGCAATTAAGCACAATTCAGCACCATGGAGTTTTTTCCCCACAGGTGAAGTGGTCCTGAACATGTTGGAAGGCTTCAGACAAAACTTTCCCCTTATCTTCCCCTCAGACCTCTCTAGAATAAAGTTGGTGTTAAGACTGGTACAAAATTCTCCAACTCAAGCAGTTGCAACCTGAGTTGCTGTTTTGAATTTTCCCTGAATTTAGGCACACCAATACACCAACAACCCTACCCCATTTAAATAACAAGTTCAGTTGATCAAACAAAAACCAAAGAGACAGAATTTATGAAAATGATTAATTTATAACATACCAAATCTGAACCATTTTATTTTACAACCTTCTCCTTGATGCCAGTGATCATGGTGACAATCACAATAGGAGTGGGCAGAATTGAACTGCCATCTTTATACTTGTAAGATACATGCTACCATTGAGCTACACTCCTTTATTAACCTAGGGTGGGTTATATGTGCAAAAGCCCCCATTTAAAAAATAACAAATTCAGTTGGTCAAATAAAAATTAAAGAAACAGAAAATTTGGGAATGATTAATTTATATGTAACATACCTAAAGCTCCTTGCAAGCTGGCTTGAGAACTTACTAAGTTATTTGGTTTGTGAGCTGGAGCCTTAAACATACCAAAACAAAATCTAAACCATTTTATCTGAATTATGGCAATTCGGCATGACACCCTAAAGTCATAAAAGTTGTAAAATATATTACCTTAGTCCACGTAAAGTCCATTTGTTTGGTATTCAAGATGAAGCAGTAAGGGAACAAATTAATCATGTTCTTGATGAAGATGAAATCATAGGAAAAGGTCCTAATGGTACACTTAGCATGATTTTTGATGGAATTAAGAAATTGAATAGAGGTGAAAAGCATTTAAAGATTACTTGTGATAATGCTGGTGGACAAAATAAAAATAATGTAACAATTTGGTTTTATT